AGTAGAAATGTTGGCATTCTCTTAAATTCTTTTTTTTTTTTTAATTTTTTATTCAAGGTGATTTTATTGCTGGTATATACAAGAGAATTTATGCCACTAGAGCAGAGGCTGTAGATGACTTGTATTTCCATCTGGGTGGGAGGACCCGCTTAGTCTTATAGTAACGAGCCAACCCATGAATTCTGCTCTCTATCAGAATCAAACGGAATTTAGGATCCTTACCCTTTCTGTTTCTCTCCAGATGCTTTCAGACGGCAACGGCTTTCTTAATCAAATGGTAGAGATCCTCAGGGAGGTCAGGGGCAAGGCCTTTGGATTTAAGGATTCTCAAGATTTTATTACCAGTCACAAAACGGACCTGTGCCACACCATGTGGGTCCCTCAGGATCACACTATCTGGAAGGGAGTCAGTCCTTTCTTGGCCAGTTTGTAAATCTGTTCCTTCATGTTGTCAGACGTCAACGTCAGCCACATGGGGACTCTACGGCAGTAGGGCAGCACCGACTAGAACAGGCCCTTCCCGGGAGCGTGCATGAGACCCATGATGGCAGAGGTCTGGCAGCGAAGAAAGAACGAGGCAAAACTGTGTAACCCAGGCTGGCTTCGAATTCGCGATCCTCCTGCCTCTGCCTCCTTCAGCAAATCCTACCGGTGTGCGCCACCACAACCGGCCATTCTCTTAAATTCTGTAAATTCCTCATCATCAATATATTAGCCTTGTTGGATCTATTTTCAGTGTACACTCGTCACCTACTTTTGCTCATCTTTATTATCACTTGATGCTTCAAACACTATTATCTGTTGCTTGCATGATTATAAATGGCTACTAAGTATTTCCCTATCTTTTGTTGTTGTTGAGACAGAAAAATGCTTAAGAATTTGCTAGCATTTGGGGTCAGTTCTTGGAAACCCTTATTGAGTAATTTATGGAGACAAGTATACAACCAAAGGAGGATTTTACATTACATGCATAAAAATTTTCTTTTTAAAACCACATATGAGTGCTTTTAAGATGATTTAAAAAATCCTATTTATTATTATTCTGAACAGGGGTGATCCACACGATATGGCCTACGTTGGAGGTCAGAGGGCAGTTTTGTGGAGCCAGCTCTTTCTCTCAGTTTTCACCTGGATCTAGAGGGTTGAACTCGAGTCACCAGGCTTTCATCGAAAACACTTTACCATCTGGGTCCTTTCTCTGCCAACTGATTAAAGAAATCATGCTACCTAACAGCTATTTTGAACATGTTCCCCTTTAATTTGATTTTAAGGTTGATGTTTACACTACATTTCAAACACCGCATAGACCTCAGGAAATACCACCAAAGGAGCTTCAGCACCAGGTAAATTTGTTAGGGTTCTGTTGTCTAACTGTAGGTTCTTTTCTACTGTTGTCTTCAGGCTTTCCAGCTCACTTATAATTTGAGTTGAAAGAACTTGTTCTTCAGTCTCCTTCTTCCATGCCCTTCTCAGGGATGACAACTGCCCTTGGCATCTTTTCAGATCTGGAACTCTTATCTGTATGAAAATAGATTGTAAGTGTTTTTAAAAATAATAATAATAATAATAATAATAATAATAATAATAATAATAATCCATTAAGATTATATAAGAAGCAACCTTAAACATACCCAGCAAAAGAAAAGAAGCACAGCATGATGCTAGTGAGAGCTATATTTTTGCGCAATGAGATTATAGGTAACGTCTTTCCTTGATGTCCATCTTAAGACATAAGTGCCATTGTTTTTGTAAAGTGGAATCTTTGTTTTTGAAAAGGTGTTTGTAGACACAACAAGGCCCACATGAATGAAATGCAATCACAGGTAAATGTGCAGGAGACAGAGGATAAGTGGAGACACAGACAGGCTTGGTGATGGCAGAAACAGATTGTAACCCAATAGCCTAGTCCACTTGGCCCACTACAAACCAGATTCTTCACTGTTCACAAATACAGCTCAAAATACAGTGACAGGCCTTTAGTACAGGGTTATTTCTAACCACTTGTGGGCAACTTAACGCTTCCCAGACAACCCAGGCATCATTTTGGAGTTTGGCTTGAAAATGCACTTACGGTTATGTACCGCTCTTTCCAGCTAATTGTTTAGTCTCAGCTTTTAAACACACTCACCGAACTTAAGTTAGAGAGAAATCAGGAAAGTGCCAACCTAGAAGAGGTGTGAAACTCTTATTATGACTATGGGCGGACCCTGTTAAATATAAAAGGCTGACAGGAATTTCTAAAGCTAATTTAAAGTAGTGAATCAAACTGAAAAAAGGAAAACAAAACGTAAGTATTTATGGGATCTCTAATTCTCACACAAATTTGCACATAGACAAACTTAAGGTAATTTTTGCTTTATTCATTCATAAATCCACTCATTTGTAAAATTAATAAATCTTTCTTGGGAGAATTTTCTATGGAGAATTATTGTCTCAGACATTCAAAGGAAGACAAATTCATGAAGACAGTTAAGGCATGCTGAGTAGCTTGGAGAGAGAAGCGTTTTGTTTTGTTTTGTTTTGTTTTTAAACTAGGGTGGTCTGGAAAGGTTTGCTGATAAGATAGCTTTATTATGAGGTGAATGAGAGTTGGCTCCGCATGGCTTTATGAATCCCCTTCCTGTTGTTTTCATTAAGCTGTTCTTTTTCTCCTCCAACAGTGGTGCAAAGACATGACCATATAGAATGAATTGACAGGAAACCTAGAAACCTTTTTTTTTTTAATTGTAGAATTATATGCCTAATACAGACTCACCCAAATGTCCTCCTGTGGCGATCCCATTGAATGAATACAACCATGCCTGTTAGTCATTGTTTCCCATTGCTTTCTGCAGCTGACTGTGAGCCCACTGCAGGCAAGGACAGAATGAGTCCTTCCTCCATCTTGGTAGCTTCTGTGCCTAACGCAAAGCCCAACGCTCGGTAAACAAAGCTTGAGAGGGAAATAAACACTGAGTCACACAGTTCACCAGAAGATTCCCTAAAGGATTCATTTATGCACTCCACTGTCCAACGCTTTATGGCGGGGTGGCCTCTGTGCTTCTCCCTGTCCTAGGATGATCTGGCATCAGAAACCAGCTCTATAAAGTAAGGTGTTGCTGTCTTCCCAACAGGGACACATTCCATAACTGACTCTAAGGTGTTGCTAACCCCAGTTGCCACATGGCACTCTCTTACTTCTATGACTGATGATTTTCATTACATCCCCTTTTCTGATGTTGTGTGAAAGAGTAATACCCTTCATATTAGATCGAAGGACAACATTGGGACAGCTCACCCTAGTCATATCATCTGGGGGAGTCATATGAGGGAAAGGGAGTCCAGAAGTTTTATTTTAACACGGACATCTTGCTTACCCCATCATTGAAAGGTGAGGTAGTTGGGATTAAATTGTTGAGTCTCTGAATTCCATAAGCTTATATATAAGTAAATAATTGCTTCCTCACAGCATCATGATGAAGATCTAAGCAATACCCATTGCTGGTACAACCACTTTAGAAATCAACCTGGAACCTTCTCCGAAAACTGGGAATAGCCATACCTCAAGACTCAGCTATACCACTCCTGGGCATATACCTGAAAGATGCTCCATCATTCAACAAGGACATTTGCTCAGTCATGTTTATAATAGCTTTATTCATAATAGCCACAAACTGGAAACAACCTAGATGTCCCTTACCTGAAGAATGGATAAAGAAAACCGTAGTACATTTACACAATGGAATATTATTCAGCCATTAAAAATATGGAAATCATGAAATTTGCAGGCAAATGGATGGAACTAGAAAAGATCATCCTGAGTGAGGTAACACAAACCCAGAAAGACACACAGTATATACCCACTTATAATTTTATGAATTTTAGTCATATAGTACAGGATAGAAATACTACAATGCACAGACCCCAAGAAGATAAGGCCGATGAGCATCTTAGCCTTCATGTGGGTCCACTAGTTAAGGGAGTGGGGGATTTCTCTGACAAGGACCATGTTGCCTGCTTTTTTGATGACTTCCCCCTGATGGGACTTCCCTACCAGGCTATAGGGAAGGAAGACAAACTCAGTCCTCATGTGAATAGATGAGCTGGGGTGTCTGGGGAGAGAGGCTCCATTATTCTAAGGAATAGGGGAGAGGGGATGTGGGAGGGAGGGTAGAAGTGGAAGGAAAGGAGGGAAGAACCTATGAATGAGATGTAAATTAATTAATAAAAAAGGAGATCTAATCAAAAAAGTTGGGTAAAGATTAAAACTTTTATCCTGGTACCTAGTGCATTGGGCAGTTGTTCAATAAAAGAATATTGCTTTTTACGATTGTGGCGGCTCATGTTTGAATGTTTGAAAATGTCCCCAGTTGGTGAAACTGTTTAAGAATGATTAGGAGTTGTGGCCTTGTTGGAGGAAGTGTGTCGCTGGGGTTGGGATTTGAGAGTTCAAAAGGTCACACTCTTCCCGGTTAACTCTCTTTCCACCTGTGACTGTGCATCAGGATGCAGTCTCAGCTGCTGCTCCAGCAGCATGCCTGCCTGATGCCATGCTCCTCTAACCCTCTAGGACAGTGAGCCCAGCAAGTTTAGAATTTTCACTTACAGTTGCTGAACATTCACATGATCGATGGGGATGCTGCTTATAACTACCCTTGTATTAACAGGTGTGTCCTTCTGACTAGATCTGCAACACCGACTGTTAAACTAAGTAAAGTGAGTAGCTTTCTTGAATGCCTTGTTACGTAAGAATATGAAGCGAGTGTAAAGCATTATTTTAAAAACTGTTCAGCTGCAGAGGGGATGGCAATGAAGATGAAACACCTCTGTGTTCAAGTCACAGTGCATGCTAGGGGAGATCCCAGCCAGGCATTTCATTCTCATGGCAGTTGAGATCATCTGTCAATCTGATACTTCTCTTGTAGATGATCCAGGCAATGGCAGCTGGGCAGTGGCAGGAAAGCTAGGAAAGCAGTTTCTTGATGTGGTCTAAATCTAGTCTTTTCTTCTTGTTCTTTTAGAGTGTTCCTGAAGTCTAATTAGGAACAGAGGCTATCAAAGCGTGCGAGAGAACCATTGGCTCTTACAGATATGGAGATAATCTGTCTGCTGCTGGAAATGTCTCCGGATTTTTGACAACGGCTAAACAACCATGGGGTCCAGCGGCCTTGGGAAAGCAGCAACGCTAGATGAGCTGCTCAGCACATGCATTGAGATGTTTGGTATGACCCTTTACTCTCCAGTTGTGTTGTGCCTCTTGGTGCTGCCCCTGGCTTTAGTTCAAATGCAGGCTCTATGGAAAAGGTTTCAGTGTCTGCACCTTGGTGTCTGAGGGTGGACCTCTAGTTTCCCTGGCTTTTACATTTCTTTCTCTTCACTGCCCACAGCTCATATTCCAGGCAAACTATCTACTTATTCCTGGAACATTCCTAGTGTCATTTTTTATGTCCATATTTTTCTTCTCTTATTGTTATTCTCTTTGAGGTCATCAGTTGTCATCCTAGATATTAATAATTCCTAATAATGTATCAGAAATGGTGCTTAGTTCCACCATTCCATGTCCAGTGCATGTGCTCATAATAAGTATGGTACATGCTACAGTGGTGATTGCCTTGTTCTTTGATTCATGTGTCTTTCTCTCTGTGTGTACTTTGCAAAATATACCATTATAATCATTTGTGTATATCTTGTGTCTTATCACAACTATGAGCTTTGCTTTGCTCTTTGTATATCTATCTTATCATTGAGCATTGGAGTCACACAAGAGAACTTTGTTTAATCAACTTAACAATTTGATTTGTCTGAAACAAGCCAGAAGTAAGCCAGAGCGGGACTATTGGATAAAATAGAGAGTGCCAGTGGTCAGCAAGGTGGCTCAACTAAAACCAGTGCCAAGCTGGATGGTCTGAGAGCTCACATGGTAGAAGAAGAAAGCCAGGTTTTCTGAAAGCTATTCTTTGTCTTCCACACATGAAGTACCCCCACCCCAACAAATAAATAAACCAATACAAGATGATCACTTAATTTGAATTTAAGATAATCAACATTTTTTAATATGTCTCAAATATGCCAAGGCCATGCTTATTCTGACAAATTAATCATTATTTAACTTTTGATTCAAATTTACCTACATGTCCTGAATTTGTATTTGCTATCTTGATCAATTGTAAGGTAGAAAAATGGTGACGCCCATTTACCTTAGTTTGAAAGGAAATGCCAGCTGAAGTAGAAGGCAAAATAGACAGTTGGGCTTGGCAGTTAAAAGTGCATGCTGCTCTTAAAGATGACAGAGTTCATGTCTGAGGCTCACAACTGCCTGTTACTCCCATTAATGCCTCTGGCTTCATGAGCACATACCCACTCTTATACACATAATTAAAAATAAATTTTACAAAATATAATGGGGTGTATGAGACATTGTTGGCACTGTGATGTTTAAGGAAGAAAAGATTAGTCCTGCCATCTCTTCACCCCTTATTTTATTGTCCGCAGATGACAATGGAGAATTGAATGACAGTTATTTGCCAAGAATAGTGCTCCTGATGCACCGATGGTATGTGTCTTCCACCGAGCTGGCAGAAAAACTCCTCTGCATATATCTTTTCAACTGCTGTGCAATGTTTTGAGTCATAAATCAAGTTCTGTATTTAGATCGAGTGTCTATCTAAAACCAGTAAATTAAGAGAAATAAACAGTCTTAATCAGTCAGTTATCCAGCTGCTTTGAGGCTACACAAATGTTAGATGAAACATCTGGATGATGGACCAAATAGATGACTAGATACTGGGTATTTTGGCTGTGTTTGCTTTGGCTCTCTCAGTAAGATGTGAAATGGAACAGAAGTTGCAGGCTGAGGGTTCCTAACTTATCCTTCACATTTTGACTGGTGGCATAATGAGTGAATATTTAACAGTCTCAAGACCTAATTTTTTTCTCCCATGATGACAACAAAACCTAGCTTTAGTTTTCACATTTCCTCTCCTTGGTAAGACACAGTGAATGTTCTAGAACAGTGGTTCCCAACCTTCCTAATGCTGAGACTCTTTAATAAAGTTTCATATGTTGCACTGACCCCACAAACACAAAATTATTTTGTTGCTACTGAATAACTGTAGTTTTGCTATTGAATCATAATGTAAATATCAGATATACAGGATATCTGATACGTTACACTCAAAGGGGTCTCGACCCACAGGTTGAGAATCACTGTTCTAGAAGGGTTTTTTTTTTTGTCCCCCCACCCCGTAATTTGCCAGTTGATGCTAAATTTTTTGTTTTACTGACAAAGAAACAAACCAACCAAAAATATGTACAAGCCTGGAAATTAAATTCCACATAGTTGAAAACTTCATTTTGGAGTAAGAACAGCTATTTATTGATTTTGTGTATGATATGGTCCTGAAAATGATAATGCAAGCAGTCTCACAGTAAGAGGCGGTTTATTATAAGATATGTGCTAGTTGTACAATCTCTAAGGGTCTTCTTTTATCTCTGTCTTATATTATCCAAGAGGCCCTGTGAGAGTGGGGGAGAATGCCTATTGGAAAAGGAGAGCCTGGGACTTAGAAAGTCTGCCCAGACATTATTGCCTGTCAAGGCTGCCTGGGCCAAACAGGGATGAAGCCTGTCCACTTCACATTTCTTCCTTATATCCTCTCACAGTTTCGAGGGACAAGGCAGTGTTAGAGAGGGAAAAGAGGCATTTACCTTGAATGGAGAGCCTTGGCAGTGAGCAGAGTCTCTGTGACTCTTGGTCTCACTATTGACAGACAGATGAAGGGAAGGAGGAGGGAGTTAACCGTATGATCCATACATTGCCCACCGAGTTCATCCACAAACAGCACTCTGATCCTTAATGTGCTTGCCAATGCAGGAAACACAAAGAGGGGTAATCAGGCATGTTAAAGCACAGTCTGGGAAATTTCAGAAGGCATGAAAGTGGAAGACTGACATTTTCCTCCTTGGATTCTTAACCAACTCTGCCCACTGTGCCTGGCTACAGTGGGAATATTTGTTAAAGAAGAACCAGTGATAGACTTAACAAATAACAACTGTGGTATTAATGTATCTGAACATGACATTATCAAATAGCAATGAGATTAGAGCGCTTGCTATATAAAACACCAATCCTAAATACAAAATCCTTTTTAGCTAAAATGGTGCTTGTGGGAATTATCAATTTTGAATTATGTAAACTTTGCAGTGTGCTTGTAACCACAGTTTGGGTTGTTGGTTGGCAAGTACTCAGGAAGGTGCAACTAATTTGTAAGTGACTTCTCCAGAGGATCAAAAATGCCCAGATCATTTGACTACTCAGTGTTGACATGCTCACATCCCACTTCCATGCCCATTTGATGATCTTTAGGTTGAATTCACATCGTCAACAATTCTGAAACAAACATTTCATATCTTGGATTTTTAACAAATTTCATAACAGCTGAACTTACATAATAAGAAGTCAATAAGAATGACACCCAAGCCGGGCATGGTGTCGCAGGCCTTTAATCCCAGCACTCAAAGAGGCAGAGGCAGGTGGATTTTTCTGAGTTTGAAGCCAGCATGCTCTATAGAGTGAGTTCCAGGACAGCTAAGGCTACACAGAGAAACCCTGTCTCAGAAAGCAAAACATACAAACAAAAACAAACAAAGAAACAAACAAACATGGCACTCATGTCTAAAAATACACTATTTTAAATGGACTCACATTTGAATACAGCATCACGTTAGTTCAGGAGTGGGTTTTTTTTTCTTGTGGTGGTGTTGCCTCTCCAAAAGTTTCAGAGTTAGAGACATTTTGCATTTCAAAGTTTTGGATTAGAGGTGCTCAGCCTGTAACTCAAACTGCTTGGATTCATGTAAATTGATGGAGCAGGATAGGCATATGCAACAAGAACATTTTCTTTAACTAGCCTACGTATCGGAATGCCAGTGGAGAAGGCTGTGATGAGTTTCGACTGAAGATCTGCTATTTCATGAGGTAAACCCAGTTACAGATTTAATTTCTCATAGTTTTGGATTCTGAAATTGTCAACAATTCCTATCTTTCTAAGCAGCCTGTACTTCTCCCCCTGCCTTTGAAACTATTAGTTCTTCTCTGTTCCTCCTGGGTAGGGTAAAATTTACCTGAGGGACTAGAGATCAGGTAGGGGATGATGCCTTAGGGAGTAAAACCAGCTCACAGAGCCAGCAGATTCAATGTTTTCTCTACTCCATCACCATACCTACATTGTCATGAATTGGGGTGGGAGCTCCCCTCAGCTGTGCTCTGTAGTAAGTCAGGAAGAAGTTCAAGTTGGCAGGATCTTGGTTCTCATTGGAAGTATATACAGAAAGGACAGAAGGACACAGGTAGGATGGCTGGGGATAGGAGCTGACAATTTGGAACTATGGTACTGGGTTCACTGTTTTGTTCATTCTACAGTAGTCTCCAAAAGAAGTCCAAACGAAATCTTCCAGCTGTCTAAAGTTCTTTCTGTACCTTCCAGGTACTGGATTCTGAAATTTCCTGCAGAGTTTAATTTGGATCTTGGTTTGATTCGCATGACTGAGGAGTTCCGGGAAGTAGCTAGTCAACTAGGATATGAAAACCACATCAGCCTTGTGGACATATCCAGCGTGTAAGAGCGGCAAGTCTTTTGATCTTTATGGGTCCTTTGCTTCGGGGAAGGGCTGGTAATGGGCCTTCTTGGCTGGAATCTACATTGTTCTAAAAGGAAGTTCCTTCTTTGAAAACAGCCTGGTTACAATGAACACAGCTATCTATCTCTCCACATAATCTACCTCTCCAAGCTGCAGGTTATGGAGCAGTACCTTTATGGAATTATTCTGTGTTTGAAAAGTCCACAAGAGAGCACATGAACACATTTGACACACAGTGGATGCTGAGTACGTAGTTCTCAGTGTCTCCTGTGCCCCAGCTACTCAGATCACCACACTGATTTCTCCTAGGAGCCTATCAGAAAACAGTCTTGGGTCCTGATTAAGCCTGCTGAATTGGAATCTATACCTTAATAAGATCCCCAGGTGATCTATATTTTCATTCAAGTCTGAGGAGCTCTCTCTTTCAGTGTTCCAGAAGCTCACTCGAGCTTTCACAAATGTTGATGAGAGTTGTGTCCTGACTGGATATCTCATTAGGGCCTTAGTACTAATTAGACATATTTAATACAGACTAGCTAACTTTGGAAAGCTTTCTTATGACCCTAGCTAGGTATGCTTGTCCATATTACAACTGTATATTCTATCCCAACATGGTCTGAAATTCCTTATGTAGCCTAGGCTGTCCTTGAACTTGTGATGATTTTTCCATCTTGGATTTCTGAGTGCTAGAATTGCAAATGTACATCAAATATACATATTTTGTGTCTTAGGCATTACCTGAAAATGCTTCTTCAAGACCAATTGATAGTGAATGACCCAGGATTCATCAGGGGTGCCTGTTTACAATGTCTGCCATTCAGATTCATTCCTAATAAATCAGCGTCACTGGAAGTGAGATGTAGGCCTTTGTTTTCATAATGAGTTTTTCAGATAATCCATATGATATTCATGTGTGATAACCAAACGATGGCTATTTCTAAGTGCCTTGAATCACCATCTATAGGCCAACAAACTTCTGCGTTTATAGGCTTAGCCATGATCTCTTCTTCATAGTTTAGATCTTGCTTGGCCACAAGGAATACCAAATAAGAGATTCAGGATGGCTCAGGGCACACCTACACTGCCTAGAAAAAAACAACTCCAAGTCTGTGTTCTATTGGCAAAGGGTGGGTGGTTTTCTCTTCAAATATGGAGGACAGGGTATGTATTTCACACAAGCTCCTGGCAGGAGGTCAAGAGTTACAGTCAGTAGGTTAATATCTTCCACTGAGTGAAATCCGTTTTCGGCACGCTGACCAGACTTGCTCTTCTTTCACAGTCCTTCCTATGACTGGATGAGGAGAGTCACACAGAGGAAAAAAGTATCGAAAAAGGGGAAGGCCTGTCTCTTATTTGACCATCTGGAGCCCATTGAGTTGGCTGAGCACCTCACTTTTCTGGAGCATAAATCTTTTAGAAGGATCTCAGTAAGGAACTTGATGGTTATTCTTCCAAGGGTAACAAGCACTGTGCCAACTTTCCCAAGAGCTGCGTGTTCATACTCCCAAGTGTTGGCAGCCTCTGCCACTGGGCTCGGCTGGAAATGTGCCCTCAATTCACAGGAACAATCCCTTTTAACCAAATATAAATATTATCCTGTCTTTAGTTTATGGCTCAGGAGCTATATTTCTGTCACTATGTTCAATGTCTCCTTTCATAGAATTAAAGCATGATTTTTCTAAATATTCAGCAGAGATTTAACCATTCAAGGCTTATTTAGTTAGAGTGACCTTCTCCAAGTGAATAGTTTTGCTAGGCCTTTTATTTATGGTGGTGGGGGTTGGGAGTGAGTTAACTTATTTTGGTATCTATACAAATGCCTAACTATGAAAATAGGTTGAGAATTAAGAACTGGAGGCTGTGAGGAGATCTCAACATTAGATGGCCTCTTTCCCAGAGACAGAAGTCCTGAATTAGACTTTCTTTCCTACACTTCTCATTTCTTTTCTATGTTCCTTTTCCCTTCCATTCTCCTTCCTTCCTCACCTACAGTCTCGTCAAGCTGCCTTTTTGTTGCTACCCATTTCTTTAGAGTGGTTCCATCAGCCGTTTACTTGCTCCATCTTGTGAGCTCAGGTGAAGTCAGTAACTGTTCCCTTCCCAAGAAGCCTGAACTTAATCACTTAATCATACCATGGTTGGCAAACAAGATGATTTTGACTAGAAGCATAGATTTCTTTTTTCTTTCTTTCTTTCTTTCTTTCTTTCTTTCTTTCTTCCTTCCTTCCTTCCTTCCTTCC